GGAAATCCATGCCAGACCGCTCCAGTACTTTCAGTACACTTGTGACCCATATATGACGAAGCACAGACCTAGTCAAAGTAATGTTATGTGTGCATGATTATACTAAACCCAGTAGGTTGTACGCAATTATTTTATAAATTTTGCAAAAAAATATTTTTTGAAGCAAGTGCCCATTGTTAGCCCATTTGGGTCAAATGGTTGGGATGACCTTTTTAGTGCAAAATCTTGCAATCGATAGTCAAATCAAATTTGATATACTTTGTGCCCAAGGAAATCCATGCCAGACCACTCCAGTAGGTACTTTCAATACACTTGGTACCCATATACATATATGACGAAGCACAAACCTAGTCAAAGTAATGTTATTTGTGCATGATTATACTAAACCCAGTAGGTTGTACGCAATTATTTTATAAATTTTGCAAAAAAATATTTTTTGAAGCAAGTGCCCATTGTTAGCCCATTTGGGTCAAATGGTTGGGATGACCGTTTTAGTGCAAAATCTTGCAATCGATAGTCTAATCAAATGTGATATACTTTGTGCCCAAGGAAATCCATGCCAGACCGATCCAGTACTTTCAGTACACTTGTGACCCATATATGACGAAGCACAGACCTAGTCAAAGTGATGTTATGTGTGCATGATTATACTAAACCCAGTAGGTTGTATGCAATTATTTTATAAATTTTGCAAATAAATATTTTTTGAAGCAAGTGCCCATTGTTAGCCCATTTTGGTCAAATGGTTGGAATGACCTTTTTAGTGCAAAATCTTGCAATCGATAATCTAATCAAATTTGATATACTTTGTGCCCAAAGGAAATCCATGCCAGACCGCTCCAGTACTTTCAATACACTTGGTCCCCTATATATGACGAAGCACAAACCTAGTCAAAGTAATGTTATTTGTGCATGATATGATACTAAACCCAGTTTGTTGCACAATTTGCACAACAATATGTTATTAAGCAAGTGCCATTTGTTCGCCAATTTTATTCAAATAATGGAGATGACCGCTTTAGTCCAAAGGCTTCCAATCAATCAAATTTGATAAATCTGTCGCTTTTAAGTAATCTAAATCAATCCTCCGAGATTTTCTTTTCTCGAAATGCGACATTAAGTACAAAGAATGCGCTATCATCTAGTTACTGTAATTTTATGAACTGCCATCCAAAAATGTAAAACGCTTTAGGTACATAAATCAAGATTTCATAAAAAACAGCTTTTCGATTTTACTTTTCGAATATAGCATTTGCAAGGTGTGAGCAACAAAATTTTGATTTAGAGAAGACCGTGGAAGTGTTAGGTCACTCCCAATATTAATTAATTTTACAGCGTGCGTTAAAAAGTGGCATTTATACAAACAAGATAAGTAGGTATATCTCTCTTTCAAGGCCAACTCTGAATCAAAATTTTGTAGCTCACTCGTTATTATTCCTGCAGTACAAGCAAGGTCATTAAGTAGATAATGCTTTTATTATTCACCGTTGATTGCATTGCAAGGATAAATGTAAACAATGAACATCTTTAATACGCATACGCATGTATATACTGCAATGTCACTTTCCTATGTAGCCAAAAACGTGTTTGAATATATCAACAACATTTATACAGGACCCCCTTTTTAAAACATACTTACGCCGTTCCATGTAGCCAAAAATGCCTTAACTTAAGTAAAAACGTTCGTAGCCAAAGTTGGTGTTTTACGATTAAATTTTAATATTTATACTACTATATACCGGTATAAAGTTTATACCGTATATAATTTATACTGTAGCCAAACTTAACCGAAAACATATATATATATATATATATATATATATATATATATATATATATATATTTATATATTACATATATATATATATATACAAGGTGTTTTTTTGGGAGCTTTAGTTAAACGTTTCTGGAAAAGTAAAAAAGGTAGCTTGTTGAAAATTTGTACCTAGCAGTTACTCTGAAGGCCCAATCGATGTAAAATATTTTCAAAATGGTGGCACTTCCGGAAATACCGGAAGTAGCTAGTCAGTTCATTATTTTAAATGGCAACCCCTATTTTTTATTGCATTTTTGGACTCTACGTGAAATTTCAATTCTTTTGATACCCCCATATCAATATCTACAATTTATGGTTTTTCAGATATTTTGACTTTAAGGGAAAAAAAAGGTGGATGCAGACGGTACCTTGAAAATTGATTACTTAAAAACGATTGTAGTTATGGCAACCCATTTATGCCAGTGCATAGAGAAAGAATATGGCTTTCTTTTAGTGTACTTTAAAAAAATTTAAGTTGCGTAAGACCGCACCTATGAAGATCCAAATTTAAGAAATTTCAAACAATAAAAACATGTAATATCAAAATATACCAATTTTGATTCTCTATCAAATGCAATAGTAAGAAAATAGGCATTTCTTAAATTTTGATCTCCATAGGTGCGGTCTTACGCAACTTAACTTTTTTTAAAGTACACTAAAAGAAAGCCCTATTCTTTCAATAAAATTTTGAGGGTATAAAATTTTCTTTGGCCTAAATTGTAGGTTAGGTTTTCGCGAGCTTGTTTAGGCATCATTTAGCTACTTTTTCATGAAAAAAAAATCGAACCAATGCGTTTAATTTTTTCGAGAAAATTAACCATTTGTGTCGGAATGTCAAAAAAAGCGCTCAAGCGGTGATATGTGAAACTAACAAAATTTCAAATAGTATAATATTTGTAGCTGAAGAATAGCTCTTTTGAATTAACCCGAGTTTGTTTAAATCGGCTCAGCCGTTTCGAAGATACGGGGTGTTCTTTACGGAAACCTTTGAATACCCCCCACCATTTCATCTTTAGAGATACAGGAAAAATTGTCAAACAAAAATTGTTCAGATTATCGTCAACTTCAAAGCCCGGACATTTTATGTTAGGTTAATATAGCGGAATTCACAGAAATATCACTTTTTTAGATTCCAGATTGCAGTTACGCCCCCTAGCGGCCATTTCAGAAACTTAAAAATATTTTCCAGGTTTTGCTCGTGACCGTTTTAGTAATAAATTTTATTACCGCAAGCCTCTACGATGAACAGGTTCCCAGATACAGTACCTCGCATTCTTATTTGGCCACCCTGTACACTTTATCGGGTTAAATGCTCATTTTTTCGTTTATTGTCGTCTTTGATTTCTATTCGTTCAAACGTTCTCTAAAAAACACAAACTTTATAAGCTCGTTTGGGGTATTGCCATTGACTAATATTGGGGGGGGGGGGGGTTATTAGGCAATGGTAATGTTTAAAGTATTTAAACAATGTTTTGTTAGGGTAAATAAATAACATAAATAGGAAAATAGCCTTTATATTCTTAAGAGCTGGCTACGGAAAAAATGACTTATCGCTACATGGCTGATTTGTTCTGTAAAGTATCCTGATACATAGTGAAGTAGAAGAAGTCATGTCTGCCAGTGAGATGTGGCTGAATGTTGGGAGAGGCGCTCAAATATGTCAAATTTTAATAAAACTGCCGATCTTCCGACTATATTTACCTCTGTCGCATTTATTTTGAATCTGACGCAAAAAATGGATGACAATTTTTTGTACAGCTCATCAAGGCACTTCTTTTTTTATATGTAACGTTTTTCGCTATGAAGCTTACTTTCTGAGAAAAGTGCAAATTTAGAAAAATTAGGAAATGAAGAGTTTAACAGTTCAATTTAAAATTTCTTAAAATCTTAGAAACTCACAAATAAATTGTTATGAACTTTTTTGTAGAGTTTTTTATGCCACAATAGCCAGTGTATGCGAAAAAATTACAAACATTTTCTTTAAGCCGTTATGGCCCTTTTAAACTTTTAACACCCTCAAAAACACTGAAGATGGTAACGGACCGAAACCAAATTAGGTCGTGTGCCATTCCCTATACAATCCTATAAACATTCCAAATTTCATACAAATCGGTTCAGACGTTTTTGAGTTATTGTGTTCACAAGAAACGAACCACATGCATACAGTTTAAAAGGGCCATAACAAAAACTCTTTTGTAATCATTTTTGCACACATTGACTAGTGCGGCATACAAAACTCCACAAAAAATCCATTACAGTTTTTTTTGTGAGTTTCTTAGTTTTTGAGAAATTCTAAATTTGAAAGTTAAACTATTTATTTTATAATTTGCACTTTTCTCGAAAAGTAAGCATCATAGCGAAAAATGTTAAATACAAAAAAGATGTACCTTGATAATCTGTACAAAAAAGTTTCATTAATTTTTTGCGTTGGATTCAAAATAATAATCAGTCATGTATCGATAAGTCACTTTTCTCCGTAGCCAGCTCTCCGTCTATTACCCATTTCTTCATTATGAGTCTAATCGCTTTTTCGTAAGTTTAATAATAACAAAATTGCACCTTACTTAAAACAATCGAAATGCTATAGCAAAAAGTGAGTTGTAGTAAATAAAAATTTATAAATAATTAAATATCATATCCGTCGTAAAGAATATTGGCGTAGATAAGATAAGCGCAACCGGGTCGACTTCGATCATGCATTCCTTCTCCAGAAAAAGATAAAACATTACTTTTACAGTGACACCTAACGATAAATGCATAGAAAATGTTTCAACCTTCTTCAAGAACCAAATACTAAACTGTTTGTGGTAATAACATTCCTAAATAGAGGGCTCTTTTAAGAAGATCGGTGCTTTAAAATAAGTGGATAAATGTGTTAAGCAATTTATGAATTATGATTAGCAATCTGTTCTTTACGTATATCTGTGCTAGTAGTAATTCGGCGCGAGTGAATTAGCCCAGAACGGGGAACGGACACGAAATTGCGTTTGTCCGACATGTAATAATTTGATTCTCCCCTTATCTAGTGGCTTAATAGGTTTTCTACCCACGTAACGCACGCATGGGATTACCGATTTTAGTTAAACTGCCAACTTCGTACATTTGTTAACCAACCTGTATGGGTCGGCTATGATTTTAGTGACTAACACGTACGGCTCGCTGATGCTTATCTCGTTTAGGCGGAGTCTTCGTTGTACTTCTCTGCGGTCTCGCTTTGGCAATCTTAGTGGCGATACTCGAGTTTTGCTGGAACAGTAAGAAGAATGCCCAAACCGATCGGCAGTCGCTCTGCTCGGAAATGGCGGAGGAGCTCAGATTCGCGGTGAGATGTCACGGATCCCGGCAACGTCCGGCTTTGCGAAGGACGTGCACGAGATGCAGCCCCGCCACCACCTACGTGCCCGCGGCTTTAGATTTACCGCATCTTAACGGGGTAAGTTCATCCCTCGCTTTGCATCTGGGGTAATTAGCGCATTGCAGGACGGACTTGTGCTTCCGCTGACCGACCTGAAAAAATCGCCAATTAACTACGAGATTGACACATAGCGGAAATTATTGGCTGGTGTACAACCGATAGCATGTACATCCAGCTCAATACGTGACTGCTGCGGCGGACCGTCGAATGCCAAATCCCGCCGTTCGGCCACCCTCAACTACAGACCAACCCCGCAGTGTCCACCGCCGCTGCCGTTCCTGAATAAAAGTGCGACGCTAGGACGGGAAAGTGTGCGCGCCGACGCCTGTGACGTAGTGCAAAGCGGCCTAAAAGCGAACTCGCAAGAACGAATTTTGTGGAGATTCGATTGTGATATTGCTAGTTCTAACAATCCGGACGTAGTGAATAGGACACTGCCAGATGCAATTGTGAGTAGGACCACCACTTTGTGATATCTAACATAGATCTAAATGAAATTTTGGAGATACATTTATACACGAAAACAAATATTTAAGTTATCAAGGGCGTATTTTTGAGTTCCGTCCAAATTCGGTTCTGAACGCAATTATTGTTAAATTAAATAAAAATTCTGTTCTTTAATAAATACGAATTATTGTACTCGATTTAATTCATCCCCTCACCTCATCCTCAAAGGGAGACCCGCCATTTCCGCTCCCCCAAAATATGAAGACATTCGCACACAACCTGACCGTGTTAGCAGTTGATTATGTGAAAAGTTGCGTGATCCGAATATTTGACCGGGACTGAACAGAGACGGAAAAGGCAAAGAAACTGAATTGTGACTTGGAAAGACATGATTTGTTGTACAAATAAACATTGGATGAAAATAAAATGAGAGAAAAGTCTTTGATGTTTTTTCACTGTTTGTTCGTAACTTCCTTTATATATAAAGCTCTAATTCTATTTTCTTGTTTTCCGTAATTTAATCTTAATCGCCGTGTTGGAAATTAGAAAAATAAACTTCTAGAAATAATTGCTTGTTCTTCTTTGGTAACATTCAACATAGGTTTTACGAGAACATCACGTACACTTCTTGTAAAGAATCTGCCTTGTCGTCTTTCTCTAGTTCTTCCCTTTCAATCAAAATTTTCCGTCAGTAGAAATAAGCCACGGACCTTACACTCTTATAGGATTTAGAATCGCGTGCACCTTTTTACTCTACTGTACTCTGCATTACTTTGCATTAATTTATTTTTAAGTGGGCGGGGTTTCAGCCAAAGATTATCTACCAATCCAACCCACTGTACATTGACAAATATCTACATCCGTATTCGAGCATACTTTACTTTCCTTTACTATTATTTCACTTCACTTGACTTCACTTTCTACTTCGCTTTTCCACTCATTTTTTCACATCACTTTTTCACGTCACTTTTTCGCTTCACTTTTTCTCTTCGCTATTAAATCTTCCGTATACCTTAATTATACAAATTCCTCAGTTGGAAATGTTACGCTTTGAAGATTCAGCGAAGAATTCCATTCATCCACCTAATTTTTCCCATTATACTCGCCGAGTGAGAAACTTGAAACGTAACAAAACTTATATAACTAAAATATCTTTGCTTCAAATAACAAAAAAAGGTTGCGTGACCCGGGGAAGAATTTCCGAACTCTATCCTTATTCAGCGCGTCGCTTTGCCGAATTGAGCCGAAATTCACGGCCTTAACCTACTCCTATGTCATAGATTTTACGTTTCCCAACTCGATTGAACACGCCCTGCTGAATTTTCACTTCACCTCTTCACTTCACTTAAACACTTCACTTTTCGTTTCATTTTTCACTTCACTTTTCACTTCACTTTTCACTTCACTTCACTTTTCACTTCACTTTTCACTTCACTTTTCACTTCACTTTTCACTTCACTTTTCACTTCACTTTTCACTTCACTTTTCACTTCACTTTTCACTTCACTTTTTCACTGCAAAATCTTCCGTATACCGTAACTATACAAATTCGTCAGTTGGAAATATTGCGCTTCAAAGTTTCAGCGAAGAATCCCATTCGTACACCCAATCGCTTTGCCGAATTGAGCCGAAATCCACGACCTTAACCTACATCTATGTCATAGTTTTTACGTTTCCGAACTCAATTGAGCGCGCAATGGTGAATTTTTCACTTCACTTTCTCACTTCACCTCTTCACTTCACCGTTTCACTTCACTTATTCACCTCACTTATTCACTTCACTTATTCACTTCGCTTAAACACTTCACTTATTCACTTCACTTTTCGCTTCACTTTTCGTTTCACTTTCGCTTCACTTTTCGCTTCATTTTTCACTTCACATTTCACTTCACTTTCCACTTCACTTTTCACCATAAGGGCCATAGGAATCTCAAGCATTTGAGAATAAAAGTCAGAACGGCCTTAAGGATTTTAAGCGTCAGAAAATTCGAGGATGCAACATTTATTTTATTTTTTATTTATTTATTGTTCTTATTTTACAAAATAAATTTGTTTACGAATGTCAAGGTTAATGTGTATCAAAATCAAACGGGGCATTCGTTAAGAACAATTGAATCTAGAAATGGAATCGTCGGTTAATCTATCGGTGCAGGTCAGGGGTCAGAAATCCAAGAAGCCAAAACATAATAAAATCCAATCAAATCCAATCCAAAAATCATGGAACAATGAGAGAGTCGGAGAATAAAGAAACCGCGGTATCAAAAAATCAGAAAATCAAGGAGTTCGATAAGTGAAAATCAGGGCGAAAAGGTAGAAAGAAGGCTTTTCAAAGAATCAGGAAATCACGAAGAGTAAGAAATCCGAATGTGTGAAATAGGAAATCAGAGGTCCGAGGAAGTAACCCTTGAATTTGAATAGTTTAAATATCATGTTCAACTAATACAACATTTGATAAGTCAGTGAATGGCCAACGCAAATAGAGTAGGTAGGTACATGAAATACATTGTTGATTAGCCGAACCTTCTCTAGTCCAGAAGGTATCTGAGGGTCCCGGATAGGGTAACTTTACATTTAAGTTGTATTTCAGGATGAATGCCGCTAAGGTAATACAATTTACAACAGAGCGTTCTTCGCTGTACAACTAAGTACATTACCTTTTGTTATGGCACAAATGTTACACAGAAATTGACAATTGAAGTTATAGCAAATTGAATTACACTAAATGGATGCAGAAAGCAAAGTGAGTACAATTTTTTCATGAACTGAACAAAATGCAAAATCGGCAAAGCTAAAGCACGGCACTAATCCCTTCATATACCTACAGATTAGCATTGTTTCAAAATGGCTAACATAAAAGTTGTGACACTGTTGTAAAATGAGCATTGTGATGTAAAGGTGGTTAAGGTTAAGCACACAATTAATTAGCTACGGTTAATTATACTCACTTCATTGGCCGGATTAAAATTCCAAAATAACTATACAAACAAATCGAATTGCGGATCAGTGCGGTTCCAATTTCGACACCGAAGTAATAAATAGTTCGCGCTGTCATAAATTGTGTATGCGAGTAATAAATAATATTTTAACTGTTATAAATCAATTATTCATTTCAAGACCGTTAAAAATTCATTGTTAATTAATTGTAAATAAATATATATCATGTAATTAAATTTATGTTATATTACTACTAATCAGAATCACATAAATAACTTTCTCTTCGTAATGCGATATTTCAATGAATTAACAATTTATAAACTAACCGAATCCTTTACTATCACTAACAAGTAACAATAATATGAGGATTATCACCAATGTTTACAAAATAAGGGCTATGGGTGCCTAATGTACATTCCAATGGATATCAGAGTATTATAAAATGGTAACCTGAATTACCGATGTTTCAAAAGGTGTCGTTTAAAATATCGTTTATTGTTTGTTCCATAATCACAATCAGCACATTTAAAATCCTTAAAATCCACATGTATCAAAAGGTGTTCTTTAAGATTTCGTTTATTATTTGTTCCATAATCACAATGAGCACATTTGAAATCCTTAGAATCGATATGTGTCAAAAGATGTCGATTAAGACATTGTTTATCATTTGTTTCATAATCACAATGAGCGCATTTAAAAAGTTTAGAATCGGTGTGATTTAAAAGGTGCTGTTTAAATAGGTATTTGTTATTTGTTTCATAATCACAATGACCACATTTCATATCTTTAGAAACTTTGTGTGTTAAAAGGTGTTGTTTAAAGTGGTATTTGTTACTTGTCTCGTAATTACAATTACTGCATTTCAAATCTTTATAATCGATATGTTTCAAAAGGTGTCGTTTAAGGCATGATTTATCATTTGTTTCATAAACACAATGGGCGCATTTGAAATGTTTAGTATCAGTGTGATTTAAAAGGTGCTGTTTAAAGTAGTATTTGTTATTGGTCTTGTACTCACAATTAGCACATTTAAAATCTTTAGAATCGGTATGTTTCAAAATGTGTCGCTTATAGTTTAATTTAACATTTGTCTTGTAATCACAATTAGCACATTTAAAATCTTCAGAATCAATATGTTTCAAAAGGTGTCGATTAAGACGTTGGTTATAGTTAGTTTTATAATCACAATGAACACATTTAAAAAGTGAAGAATTGCTATGGCTTAAAAGGTGTTGTTTTAAACAGTATTTGGTATTTGTCTTGTAATGACAATTAGCGCATTTAAAATCTTTAGAATCGATATGCTTCAAAAGGTGTCGTTTAAGATATCGTTTATTATTTGTTACATACTCACAATGAGTACATTTAAAATCCTTAGAATCACTATGACTTAAAAGGTGACTTTTAAAGTAGTATTTGTTATTTGTGTCGTAATCACAATTACCACATTTAAAATCTTTAGAATCGACATGTTTCAAAACGTGTTGAATAAGACACTGTTGATCATTTGTTTCATAATCACAATGAGAACATTTAAAATGATAATCAGTGTGATTTAAAAGGTGCTGTTTAAATAGGTATCTGTTATTGGTCTCGTAATCACAATTAGCACATTTAAAATCTTTAGAAACTTTATGTCTTAAAAGGTGAAGTTTAAAGTGGTATTTGTTATTTGTCTCGTAATCACAATTAGCACATTTAAATACTTTAAAATCAATATGTTTCAAAAGGTGCCGATTAAGACATTGTTTATCATTTGTTTCATAATCACAATGAGCACATTTAAAAAGTTTAGAATCGGTGTGATTTAAAAGGTGCTGTTTAAATAGATATTTGTTATTTGTCTCGTAATCACAATTAGCACATTTAAAGTCTTTAGCAACTTTATGTCTTAAAAGATGATGTTTAAAGTGGTATTTGTTATTTGTCTCGTAATCACAATTAGTACATTTAAAATCTTTAGAATCGACATGTTTCAAAAGGTGTCGATTAAAACATTGTTTATCATTTGTTTCGTAATCACACTGAGCGCATTTAAAATGCTTAGAATCCATGTGATTTAAAAGGTGTCTTTTAAAGTGGTATTTGTTATTTGTCTTGTAATCACAATGAGCGCATTGCATCTCATTACGTTTGTGTGTTAAAATGTGCGCTTGAAGCAGTCGTTTATTCTTTGTTCCATAATCACAATTAGCACAGTTAAAGATTCCTGAAACATTATGGATTAAAAGATGTTGTTTACCTTGCAGCTTACTATTCGTTGTTGGTTGACCGAAGTTATGTTCGAAATCGTTAGAAATTGCAGCTTTAATATCCCAAGCACCTTCAGTTTGTTGTACTTCTTCATTATCGAGTGATTTGGAGCACTGTGCAGAAATGATAATTTCGTCCTTTAATGTAACCAATGCTTCATTATTCACTATAATGTGTTCTTGAAGATCTGAATGAATTTTTACTTCTTGTTTTGGTTCGATTTTAATAAGTGGTACATCGTTTCCCTCCATTTCCACTAATAACGTTCTCAAGGAATGTGTAACAATTCCGTTTTTGTTTATAAAAAGTAAATTTTGGTTTTAAACAACACAATTTCTTACCAGTAACTGCCTATTTATAGCTCTACCTCCACGTATCGTAGATTGCTCTGGCTGTAGCTCAATTACCAGTAAGGGTCAATTTCATTTGTGTCTAAATTGTCCAGAACGATCAATACACTGCGCATGCGAAAGAGACGTCAAAGCTCCATTACGTAAATATAACATAAAGACCTCTTTCCTTCTCTAAGATAAAGACCTACGGTTTTAGCATCCCATTGCCACTTTTAATACCACAAACAAAGTCGATCTAGCTACGTTCAGTTTCTAACATACAGGGTGAAGACGAAAGTTTGACATGTTGTGATGTTACCATATCTTACTGCCCACGTAAGAAAGCTCATTATTTGACCATTGAACGTCACCTTGATCTCTTTTCCAATGTCACTTCCAGGAGCGAAGCGAAGCGAACTTTGACTTGATTCGCAAGTTCGCCTTCAGCAACTGACGACATTTGAGCTTCACCCTCACCAACTTCCCAAAGTCACAATCATGTGGTAAGCGACCTTGGACTGATCCAGAGCCGACCCTATATGGTGGTGACCTTTGAGATTCCCTCTACTTACTTCCCGAAGTCACCTCCATGGGGACAACATTTGAACTCCACCTAGACCTACTTTCCAAGGTCACCGACGCGTAGCAGGTTACCTTTCAACATCACCTTGTAGTGGAACCGAATTTGCTCACTAAAATTCGACTTAAATATACCCAAATATACCTGGCCACCACGAAAGAAATTCAAGATTGCGCTTAGTTTCGTTTCCGTGGGACATGTGTTTTTTTCTTCTCTGCCCTACATTGAAATGGGCCATAATTTACAATAAAAGTGTCAAACATAACGCCATACGAGGGAAGTTAATGATCCATATTGACCGACGACCCTGGGCACGTCGTTATTAAAAATTTTCGTCTAAGATTTACGTAAAGGGGAAATTTGGGCAGTCGTAGTTTCTTTCGCATAATTACTGTGGCTTTTTCGACTGCCATTACTCAGGTGACGTATTCCTTTATTTTTAATCTTTCAGTTATTGCATCCGTACAGCAATTATACAATGATTGTGTTAGATTATTTGGCAAATTACCGGCTTGCCACACATGCATTAGGTACATACCAGTGCAGCATGGGTATTGTCATTTACAATTAATTAGTAATGAAATACCGATTGCTCTTTTACAATTACGTAATCGTGCCCTTAGTTGAAGTCACAGAGATACGGCAAGATTTCATTGTTAGCGCATTTTTTAAGAATAAAAAAAATGTGCCCTTGTTTGCGTTTTGTCCGTCCGTCCGGACCCACTTATGCCGCTTCGAACTACTTCTAGGGGAATGGTCCTAGAGTCTTGGAATTTTTTGCAGTAGGTAGCCTATACCTTGAAGGTGCTCCAGAAGGCCATCAAATTTCGCTGTATAAAAGGGCGGCCCCCGACGAATTATTTCCTGAGATGCTATTTTTGAAAAATTAATTCTAATTAAAGGTCTCAACAACAGGAACCGTTTTCTACCAACTACTGCCCTTCTTTCTGTCCTCTTATCAAAGTACGGGCGGAGGGAGGGGGGGGAACTAGTTTTTTGTCCTTCATGGTACTCTGATGAAAGGTCTCAACGAAAGGGATTAATTTCTACCAACCGTAGCCCTCCTCCTCGACCTTATATCGTGACCGGGTATATTCCCTTATACCTCAAGAACGTATTGTCCGAAGAGGGTACTCACAAAGGGCGATTGAGACGTCTCCAAGAAATATATCCATTGAAGATGTTAAAACAAAAGCTATTTCGGTTAAAAAATGCGCTTTATCTGCACGAGTTGTGCACAATTTATCCTTTTTTTTGTCTACGCAAATATGTTGTTTTCCAACTTACATTATCCCTTTGTTCCTAGCGCTGGTTTTACCTGCCAACCCGCAGTATAAATTTCTGACTGATTTACGTGTTTTTATTAGATACAGTATGTTCTCTTTAGGGATGATGTTCAATACGAGTGTGCAGAATTAAAAGATGTAGTCATTGTTATAGCGATTCGTGGATGGTGCTGTATTTGGAAACTAATAGTTAATTTATACCTAACTGAATTTCCCGCAGCACATTTCCATTCTTTTGCATGAATATGTTACTGTCTATTTACAGGCTGCTTCACCTGGGGGCGAGTGACGTACGTGGCATTGAGAATTAATGACTTTATACTAATGTTTGCCATAACATGTTCCTTTGTTTTGTTGTAATGCGGCACTTAACGTTATGCTCCTTTTATTTATTTGAACCGGGTAATTATGATTATTAATATTTGGCAGGGTGACTTCGAATATGTATTGTGCTATATTTGAGACCGACATTTAGTTCACCACCAGGTATTTGCCAACGCCTCGACACTAGTGCCTATCTTCATTTAGCTCTATTAAAGATTTTGACCTGAGCACTACGACGGCTCAACAATTCTTTTAGAAAATTATTGAAATAAATTTTGAAAAACTCACTAGCTGATCATGAAGGGGGTAGGTTAGTAAAGTTTTATAAAAAAATCTACTTATCATCATCATTTGCTTTAATAGATAGCCCTTAACCAAAACGTTTAGTCATAGCTTTAATGCCATGTGCGTGGCAGGTGTAAATGCGTGCCTAATCTACGAATTTGTTTTAATTTCACTCCGCGTCCTCTGCGTGTAATTAAGGAAGACTTTTTGACAATTGTTACGGAAAAGGTAATTAAGCTTTAATTACAAGGGGCAAATGTCTGTCTCAAAATTTAAATTCTTGATTAATAAAGTTTATATGAAGTTAAAACTTTCCAGTTGTATAAGAATGTCGAAAAATACATCGCGAAGGATGAATACGAAATTAATGCATTTAAGAAGGACGGAGGCGGAATTACATTATGCATTCAAATTAAATTTCCTTCAGCTTGACTACGTCTGCAAACTGCAATTCCGCTTTAAAAATCTGCCAAGCTAAACTTCATTAAATTTTTATTTGGCATTACTTCGAAGTGAACATCCTGTCAACTTGCAAATCTATAAAATCGATGGGAACGTCTCCATTGCACATTAAGAAATCTAAATGGCACGTAATTGTCGACATTCATCTCACATTCCTACTGATCTCGAGTAATAAAGCCCCCTCGCTACGTAGGGCGCATTTTAAATTTCTTTTATATGCGACACGAAATTTAAACGCTTTAGCCTTTATGATTTATGTGTTCGTATTCCTTCAAGATTTTTGGGAAATTAATTCAGGAATGTCGTCCTCTATTCATATCCGCTATGGTTCGTACGTCGTAATATAAAATGTATCAGGGGCTAAGTACCTATAGCGTTGTAAAAGTCCGAGTGTAGTTCGCTGATAAAAACGAAACCCCTAAGAAAAATTAGCGAATCTCTCCCGCCACGCGACACCCGTCCCCCAAGGCGCTGAAAACTAACGAATTCAATTGAGCCAACAGTCGGAATGGCGTTGAAAAATCTAATTTTCGCTAACGATCCCGTCTTGTGTGATAATTAAACGGTGCTGTTTTAGAAATTTAGCCCATTAACGGAACGTTACAGCTGACAGTTTCCACCTTTTTCTTTCGAAACCGCACTTCGGTAATTACGAGTGGAAAAAAAAGCGCGAAGCGCTGGAAAAGTTCCACCTACTATTCCAATTTGAATTCATTCGCGGTCTATTGTGTTTAGATTAAAATGTGGAAACTCGCGCGTAAAAGTTGTTTTTGTTTCCGATTGTTTAAATCGACCGCGCGGCTCTAGGAAATTAAATGGGAGCGTGACATTAAACTAGTACCTAATACTCGTATTTAGTAAAGGATTAATAGGGAGGGTTTAACCAAATATTTGTTTGTCAGAGGTTAATTCACTTGCAGTCAGTTGTAAACTATAAATGATAACTTTGCTAGAAACTTAAGACTTTCTGAACTTTACCTTAAAGGGCTTTAGATCCTTGTGACCTCCGTCCTTATTGTAACTTTGAAACCTAGACGTTTCGGGGCTCTAGAAAATGTCAATACATTCACTTAAAGGATTTTATACTCTTAACGACCATCGTGCAAGGCCGGTTAGAGATTTTAACGTTTTTCCAAGATAGAGCGTTACTGTATTGCTTTTTAAACTTGCAAATTATACCTATAAAGGACCCTGAAAACCTCAGACATCTTGGGAAGCTTTAAAGGAGTACAAATGAGGGTACTCTCCTCCGACGTCCATCTCGAGATATTTGCACTGCACGTTTTGACATCACCATACGTCCCTATCGCCCTTTGTAAGTACCCTCCTCCGACACTCCGCTCTTGAGATACAAGGAATGATATCGGATCCACGGTAAGGGGTCGAGGAGGAGGACTATGGTTCGTAAAAATCACTTCTTTTCGATGGGACCTTTCATTAGAGTACCATGAAGGATAAAACCAGCCCCCCCCCCCCCCCATTGTGTTAAGGAGTAAAAAACAGTTTCTTTTGTTGAGACCTTTCATGAAAATACCATGAGGGCAGAACGTGTGTACACCCCCCCCCCTCTTATTTTCAAAGTTTTACTTCATCACTAACGGCATGCATAAGCAATATTTAACAATTGATTGTTGCATGTAAAAGTTGTGCGCGTTTTACTTTCAAAAACAGCATCTCAAGGAATAATTCAAGCGGAAAGGGGGGGGGGGGAATTTAATGATCGTCTGGCACACATTCAAAGTATAGGCTACCTTTCGTTAAAAGTTCCACGACTCTAGGACCACTCTTGACACTTTCAGAGATCCTTGGAAGCTATTTAAATGATTTTAAAAATCCAAAAGGCATCCAAGTGGGTCTTAAAAGTCCGTTAGGACTATAAAAAGTTTTCAATTTCTCCAAGATGGATCTTTATTTTATTTTATTTTTTTTATTGCGTTTATTTTATAGTGGGCGAAGTATTAGCCAATTAGCTATTCTCCCAAGTCAACCCACTATACAATCACAAACAACCATGCCTTACCTGGGATTCGAACTCATCTGAGCTACGCAGGTCGGTTATTGTTACTGTTTCCGAGCCTCAAAAAAGAGTCTAGAAGTCCCTTG